GAGTTCTAGGTGCCTCCTTATGTTCCCTATTTATATATTTAAGAGTCTTACTTAGGGCCTAATTACTATAGGTTTTCTAACTCTATTCCTTTTAGGACTAAGGATTGGGTTTAGGGATAAGGGCCCATGGACTATGGTGGGCCTTTCCTAATTAATTATTGTGATTTAATTCTTTCTTTTGGGTAATTGGTTAAATGATTAATTGGTTTTAGGGATCGTAACACGGGGTGTTACACTCCAAGCTTGGCGTCTTTTGCGGAGGCTCAAAGATCGTACCTCAATCTCCTCACACAACAAAGCAATTACTGGAAACAACGTGCTAAAGTCTTTTGGTTCAGGGGAGGGGATACAAATTCGGCATTCTTCCATAATACTCTTAGAAGAAGGAAATTTAATAATTCCATAACCAAGCTCAGGAATGAGGAGGCACAGTGGGTCTCTAAAGGATATGGCCTTGACAACCTTATCACTAAGTATTTTACTGATTTTTTCTATTCAAGACAAGGTGACAAGACTCCTATTCTGGATTGTATTAGCGAGAAGGTTACTGGGTCTCAAAATGAAGCTTTGATTCGTAGAGCAGATATGGAAGAGGTCAAGAATGCTTACTTTAGTATGCATCCAGACAAGTCACCGGGTCTAGATGGCTTCAACTCGGGCTTCTATTAGGCTTATTGGGACATTATCGACGAAGAGGTAACAAATTCTTGTAATAACTTCTTTCTCTCCGGTCAGTTGGATAGGGATTTGAATGGTACTGTGACACCCCGTAATCCAAATTCGATTAAGGGATTAATTAAATAATTAATCCTATTTCAATTGGTAATGTAATTCCTTAAATTCCTGAAAATTCAATAGTCGGGGACTAGTAATTGACTAGTCATCAACTCTAAAGTCAAAGTTCTACCTTGAGCTTTGTAAGGAGTTCCCTTGTTCCCTTACACCTCTTCATGTTAGTAAGGGTATTCTTGACTTTTCACCTTGTGTTAGTATTGTAAGCTAACCTAGTAAGAACACCCTCATTTCTCTCCTTACACTTTCCAAATTCTAGCTCCACCTTCTCTCTAAAAAGGTAGATAGCTTTTCTTCCAAGCCAAGTTGAAGCTTTGTCAAAACCTCAAGAGTTGTCTCCAAGATTCTACCTTTCATACATTTGGGCATCTAGGAAGGTAAGATCCATGTTCATCTTGTGTTTTTGGTGTTTTCTTAAAGATAGAATCTTTATGATCTTTTGGTGTGTTCTTGAAGTGGGTTTGGAATGTGAGCTTTGTTAGGAGCTTGGTGAGGTGTTAAGTGATGGTTTTTGTCTACAAGAGGTAACCCATGCTCTACAAAATCTATTTTGCTTACCTATATGATGATTTCTTGGATTCTACATGTGTTTTGCTATGAAATGTGAGTGTTTATGCATTGTCTTGTGAAAATGTATATCTAGAGCTTGTTATTAGGGTTCATGTGTGCCATTGTTTGGCTATTCCTTTGATTCAATTCATTTTGTTGTATTTGGTGAGATTTGGCATGTTTTGGACTTGAATTTGAGCTTGGTGTTGAAAATCCCCGAAGGGATTATTTTGGGCACAGGTGTGTACCCGCGGGCGGAACGACGGGCAGAGCCCTACCCGCCGCCCCACCCGCGGGAACGTGGCTTGTGGGTGTTGGTACCCGCGGGCAGAACCACGGGTAGGGGCCTACCCGTGGGTCCACCCGCGGGGAACATGCTGGCGTTGTTGAGGGATTTGTTCCCCGTGATTCTTTTGACTCGGTATTTGGTCTTTTGACTTCCCGATGTTCTTTTGTGGAACTATTTGAGTGTCTTCTTGATGTTTCGTATGTCTAGAATTATATGGTAGGAATCCATGTAGGTTTTGGTGTCTTGAATCGTGCTAAGTGTTCAACATTGTGTTTCGTTGAACCGTGATGAGTCTTGTGTGTTCTTCGGAACTACGTTTGGTTTACCCGTTTGATGAGCATGCTAGTTCGGTGTTTAAATGCTAGCATGTGTGTTGTTTGTACCTTCCTATTGTTGATGATAACTTGTGTTAGTCATCTTTGTTGTGGACTGTGATCCATTCCTTGATTGAGTATGGTTTCATATCTTCGTTGTGATCCGTTGATTGATTCCTGTTGAGGTGTGGTGTGTGTGTGGCTTTACCTGGATTGCACGATTAGTGGTATGGGACACTAGTCACCAAGGTATTGCAGTGGTCCTCGTGGTGGCCATGACGTGATTATGGAGTTTGTGGCCTTTGTGTAAGGTTTGCGTGTTTATTTCTGGGATAACATGTGTTATCCAGTGCATGTGTTGCCATGAGTGATCGGTACCCTCGTGTACTATGAAATCGGTGGTTCTGTTGGAGGGACTGTTAGAGGGGGAACGACGGTTCCCGGGGGAATAAGGTTGGACTTGGTGTACAGGGGTCCTGGAGGTAAAGGTTGGAACTAGATATAAGGTTGGGGGTAGCCATAAGGTTGGAACCGGGCATAAGGAAGGCATATCAACTCGTGATGGGTGATGTCACGAGGGCTTGTGTAGCCGTTGTTGTGAGTTCTCTTCTTGTGACGTGTGTAGTCACAAAGGCATGTGTTGTCGTTTGATGTGTCCTTATTCCTTTGAGTTATGCATGTCGGGTATTACTCTATTGTGTGATGATAGATTATACCTTGAGACTTCTTGTGAGTCGTTGTTGTTCTTGTAGTCTTGGGATGTGTTCCCGTGTTCTTGTTGAAATGTTTGAGTCTTGTATTGACTAACTCTTGGTTTTGGACTTATATATATGTATTCCGTTTCAAAAATGGCTTTACAAATTTATATCTTATCTATGTATGATATTTCACATGTATTGGTGGGTTACCAGCATTATTCGCTGACCGGGCGTCGTCCCATGTTTTATATGCTTCTTTTAGGTGATGTTTAGACGAGTGCGCGGTTTAGTGCCAGCTAGAGTAGCTCCTCCCTTATGTTTTGTGGCCTGTGAGCCAATTTAGACTTAGTACTTTGTTATGTTGGTTTTAGATGTTGAACAATGCAGATGTAGCCTGTGCGTTTACCTGTGGGTGAGCGTGGCATAGCACCCCGTTTCTTCTATTTTATATATTTCCTCTTTCAGTCTTCCGCTGTGTTTGATGTTTTGGTTTAGATATCTGCATGTTTAAGGCTTTAAATAGTATGGAATTTAGGGGGTGTTACAGGTACTCTAATCACTCTAATCCCTAAGAAAGCCAAACCTGAAACTATGGGGGCCTGAGACCTATCTCTTTGTGTAATGTAGTTTACAAGATAATTGCTAAAATCCTTGCTAATAGACTAAAAATCTTGTTGGATGGGCTTATTTTGGTTAATCAGAGTGTTTTGTCGCTGGGAGGCTCATAACTGACAATATCTTGTTAGCTTTTGAAACTCAACACTATCTTAAGAAGAAAACTCAGGGTAGGGAGGGCTTTGTTGCTTTAAAGCTTGATCTTAGCAAAGCATATGATAGGGTTGAATGGGGTTTTTTTAGAGCTATTCGGTTGAAGTTTGATTTCTCTCAACACTGGGTTAACTTGATCATGAAGTGTGTTTCAACTGTAGTTTATTTTGTGCTGTCTGAAGGGGACGAAATTGGGCCTATTTTTCCACATAGGGGGTTGAGACAGGGGGATCCTTTATCTCCTTATTTATTTTTATGGCTAAAGGGCTTAGTGCGTTAATTAGAGAGAGGGGAACAAGGGGGTTTTTTTTTTTTTTTAATGGGATTGCTGTGGCTAGAGGTGCACCAAAAATCTCTCACCTATTATTTGCCGATGATAGTTTTATTTACTTTAAAGCTACCCTGGGAGAAAGTGTTGTGTGTAGAGATATGTTACAATGTTATGCTGAAGCCACTGGCTAACTGATTAATCTTGAGAAATCTTCATTGAGTTTCAGCAAAAATGTCCCTGATTCACTACAACTTTCCATCAGTTCAATTCTAGGAGTTAGTCTGCTTCTAGTAATTATCTTGGCCTCCCCTCACTAGTGGGTAGAAACAAAAGGGAGGTTTTGGGGTATATAAAGGGTACGATTGTCAATAAAATCCAGAGCTCGAACCACAAGTTCCTCTCTAGAGCAGAGAGAGAAGTTTTATTGAAAAGTATTGTGCATGACATCCCTTCTTTTGTTATGAATGTATTCCTTCTGCCTCTAACAATGGTCCACGAAATTGAGAGATTGATGAATAGTTTCTGGTGGGGTTGTGAGGGAGAGGGTGGGAAAAGTATTAGATGGAAAGCATGGGACCATCTGTGTGTTCCTAAAAAATGGGGTGGTATGGGTTTTCGTAGATTGAGAGAGTTCAACCTCGCTATGTTGAGTAAACAAGCTTGGAGGCTGCTACATAATCCCTCTTCTCTTGCTGCAAAGGTTTTCAAGGCTAAGTACTACCCAAACTGTTTGTTTTTGGAGGCTAACTTGAGTAGCAACCCCTCCTTTATTTGCAGAAGTATTATGGAATATAAAACTATCATCAAAAGAAATAGCAAATGGAGAGTAGGTGATGGCTCTTCGATCAAAATCTGGAAAGATTTTTGGCTACCTGATACATCAAACTCTGCTGTTACCACCTCCCTCATCCTTTCATGAGTAATGCCACTGTGTTGATGATCAAAATTCAGTGTGGGACGAGGACATTATCCAAGATATTTTCAACCCCAAGGACTTCAAGTTAATCACTAGCATCCCCTTGCCTTCTACGAAAAGGGAAGATAAGCTTATTTGGGCCAGGGAAGACTGAGGTCATTTCTCAGTCAAGAGTTGTTATAGGGCACAACTACAAGATTTCTCTCTTCAATATCCTCCATTTTGGGCTATAATCTGGAACCTTAATATACCCCCAAAGGTGAAAGTATTTTTCTAGCAACCGTGTCAATCTTGTCTTCCTACTGCTAACCTCCTACAGCTCAGAAGAGTGGACTGCCCCATTGAGTATCCAATCTGTTTGGAAGAACCAGAAACTGTGTTTCATGCCTTAGTCACCTGCAAGATGGCAAAGGAGTGTTGGTCCAGAATGAACAAAGTGATCAATCCTGATGGTTATTCATCCTTTGCTGATTGGATACATGACAATATTAAGGCTCTCCACAAGGATGATCTTTCTCTATTAATTTTACTGTGTTGGAATATTTGGCAGAGAAGAAATGACAAAGTCTGGAGGAGGGTTTCTACTTCTACCCTGCAGATTATTGAGAGAACCTTTGCTTATCTGGATGAATGGAGGAAAATCACTGGAAATGATTGCATTGTTGCTTCTGCCAATGGAGGGTTCACTGTCAAATGGTTTAAGCCTCATCCTGGTTGGACCAAACTAAATGTTGATGTTGCTCTTGTTGTTACTGGTGGAAAGATGGGCTTTGGGTGGATTCTAAGAGACGATCAAGGGCTGTTCAGAGGGGCTAAATGCACTCCTTGGAGGGGTGCTTTCTGACCGAAGCACGCTTATGGTTTACAGTTCTCTTTTAAGAAGTGTAGTCAAAAGATTAGATGTAAATATGTAATGATGGTCATGTAAGGAGAGAGATGAAAAGAGTTAAAACGATGTGAGTGAGAACCACCCTGAGTGTCGTACTCAAGGAGTGATAACTTGGAAGCGTCAAGCCCACTTTATAATGATGATGTTTGAGTTTGAGATTCTTGTTTGAGCAAGAACATTAACAAGGTGCAAGGGAATCAAAAGAGCACGATGAAAGTAAAGAAAAGAAATGAAATAAAGGAAAATGGAAACGGGCTCGGATTGTGTTTTGATTGCATTGCACGGGTGGCCAAACCGAAGGTTGAGTGATTAGAGAGTGCGTTGACACTAGACAAGAGGAATGGCGTTGCTAGTGCATCGCCAATCCGGTCTAAACGCCTCTCGTAGGAATTCTCATTCTCTACGAGGCATTTCATTGAACACCTTGTCTACATTCCTTTCCAATCTTTTCCCTCTCGGATCGAAGGACAGGAACTGCAAGAGACGGGGGCTAGGTTTGTGTCCCAATCTCTTGACAACACAACCTTTTCCAGATCTACAAGCATGTGGTGCACTCACATACAAGAGTCTCAACAAAGCTTATCTTCCAACAAGTCATACATGCCAACAACATTCACAATCACAAAATCACAAAATCACAATACAAATCAATCAAATGCAATCTAAACAACAATCTTTGCCCCTAGAATTTTAGCCAAACATGATAAATCCCAAGATCAAGCAATTAGGAAATAGATGAAATACAAAAGATAGATAACAAGAATAGAGTTTAGATTTCACCCAATCCAAGCTAGATCTCTTCAAATGGTGGTGAGAAATGATAAATCCAAGCTAGAGAAACTTTAGATCTTCAATCTTCCTTCCAAAGTATCTAGATTTGAGGCTAAAACCCTAGAAGAAAAAAGAAGAAAACTAATACTAACCTAAAACTCTCTCTAGAATTGTAGAATGATCCTCCTCTCCAAAAAAACTCTCCTCCAATGCTGAATTTACCCATCTTTATTCGCACTCCTATTCACGCACGGCCTCACGCCGTGAGGCCGACGTGAATAGAGTATAATCCTTCCAATTTTTCGCTTCGCTTGGCCGCTTCTAGTTCCCATTCACGGCGTCCTCACATCGTGAGGAGGGGCGTGAATGGGGATTAATTCCCATTCTGTCACTCTTCTCGTGCGTAGTCCCGGCGTGTTCGGTCCTCGTTCGCGCGCTTGCCTCGGCTTTGCTTATTTTCGCCTTTTTACCATGTTTCCATAAATACCTGGAAATAGATAAAATGTAATCTAGAAGGTATTTCTGTGCTAAGTTGTACTTTTAGGGTATTTTGCTCTAAAAACACGACTTCTAAGTTAAAACTAATGCACAAATCCTTAGAAAAACTACCGGAAATTTAGTATATTTTGAGACTTATCACTTTCTCACCAAAGGAGGCGGAGGCTGTAGCCATTTGGGAAGCACTATCATGGCTTAAATTTCATCATTTTGATCATGTTTTGGTTGAAACTGATTCATTAATTGTTGTTCAAAGTTCAAATTCAAACTTAGGAGTCTCTTCTTTTGATTTGATCTTGTTAGATATTAAAGATAGACTTAGTTGGTTTTCCACTGTGTCTATCTCCTTTGTCAAGCAATCTGCGAACCGGACAACCCATTCTCTTGCTAGGGAGTCCGTTTCTATGTCAGGTTGCGAGAAGTGATTTTCCCACCATCATCCTTTTTTTTGGTAATGTTCTACCGGATGATTTAAGTAATGAAATCTAATCTTTGTTCTTCCAAAAAAAACCCATAGAATCCCCCCCAAAAAATGTAAAAAATCCATAGATTTTTTTTTTTTTTTTTTTTTTTACTTGATAACCTCATTTGGGGATTTATTTATTGAGTTGGCAAAACTGAAATCTCAAAATGCCGTTGGGGAAATACAACTGCGATTATTGCGATAAAGAGTTCCGGGACACGCCCGCGGCTCGCCGGCGCCACCTTCAGGGCATCCAGCACCAGAGGGCCAAAGCTCTCTGGTACAACTCCTTACTCAGTCAGTACAACTACGCTACTTCCGTTTATACTTCACAATTTTAAACATATGTATACGAATTCGTAATTACTCCTCTGATGTTTTAGCAGATCCTTTGGTACATAACGATCCGGAGTCTTTTGGCAAAGGAGTCTGCAATCGCTTCGTTCGAACGGTACCGCTCTACCTAGTCTACTCTTCTTTCCACCCTAAATTTATCCCTCAACCAATTTTTTCCTAGCCAATTAGTGCTTTCAACTTTAATGATCTGGAAGCTGTATGCTATTTCTGTAAAACCCTTTTCCTTAGTACAATGTATGGAGTATTTGTTTGATGATGTGAGAACTTTTTGCTTCTTAGTTTCATTGCATCTATCTTGATGTAATTTTTTGTTTTTTCTCATTCCTCATAGGGGTCATGCCAGTATGGGGAGTCATGTAGATATTATCATCCAAAGCAAAACACACAAAATATGAATCTTGAACGAATAAGAGGTAGGATCAGCTTTGTCTTTGTAATTATGCATTATCTATTATTTATTGCAATTTTCTTATTTCCATCTATGTTAAATGATGATCATTTTGGATGGGAATCAAGTTTAGCTAAAAAAATGTAACTGATTATGTTGAAGAACATATTAAAATAAGGCTGGGGTTTGAACCTATCCTAGAACATTGCATAAGTGTTTAAATTTCAAGTTAAGTTGAATATGAAAACTCCGGATACACATACGTGAATGCACACACACACAGAGTATGTCAAAATTTTTGGGGTTGTCAAATAGAAAACATGTCATGTAAAATAGGACAAAGGAAATGTGGAATAATTCTTAAGGATAGGAGTAATAATTGCTTTATGCTCCCTAAATTGTTTCCTCAAGGACTGCTATTGATGGTTGTGTATTTCAAATTTTCAATTGAGACACATGATTTATTATTACTTTAGTAGTTCCCTTCTAATAACCAATCTAATTCTCTATTGAGTACCTTTTATTTTCTGTATTGGCACGTTAAATTGAAATGATATTGTTGGTTGATCAAATGATGTGCTTTTTTGAAAAACCTGAATAGAATGGCAGTGAGCTGTTATTCTGGCTCCTATTGGAGGCCAGCAGGCCCAGCACACTGTTTTCTTTTCTCCTTTGCTTTAATGAAACGTTTGTAAAAAAAAAAAAAAAAAAGAAGAATAGAATGGCAGCTGCTGAGTTGCTCTTTGGGTACAGATTTAGTATTAATGCTCATCCATTAGCAATAGCATCCTTTAAAATTGGCATTGATATATGTTGTTTTAATATTTTTACCGTAAAATTTTAGGATGCTCTCTTCTATGCTTTTTCCTTGTGCAGGGGAACTTCTTGTTCTAGTTGTATGCATAACCTATGTGACATTGTTGTATATAACTAAAGAGTATAGAAACCTTAGATGGAGAAATCATGAGTAAATCATCTTACAGAACTATATGTCTATATATTTATACTATTCATATGACAAGGCTCTTGTTCCTACTACCATATGTACAGAGGTTCCTAATTAAATATTCATAAACCTACACTGTATTTGATTCTTAACTATTATATATACTAACGCTCCCCCTTAAGTTGAAGCATGTGCATCATATGCTTTGAGCTTGTTACAAAAATACTCAATTCTAAGCGCTAGAAGTGATTTATTAAAGATATCTGCTGCCTTATCAGTTTTCGGTAGAGCTAACAGATGTATTAATAATTTCTTTTAAGACATTCTATTCTCATATAAAATGGCAGTTGACTTCTATGTGCTTTCCCCTCTCATGAAAGATTGGATTTGATATTGTGTGCAAGTTTGTTTAATTATCACGTATGAGCATCGTAGGTCAAAGTTTTCACAAAACTTTAGTTAGGTAGAAAGGTACTTCAACCAAATTAGTTCACATTCTTCAAGTGTTATTAACCTATACTCACCTTGTACACTTCAACATTCTACCGCATCCCTACCTCTTACTGCTCCAAAATATTAGATTACCACCAATTAATACACAATATCCTGAAGTTTACCTTCAATCCCAAGGACATCTGGCCCACTCTGCATCAATATAGCCAAAAATTCGTGTCTACCAGTATTGGGCACAGGCACCAGCTCCCCCTATTTTAGTAGAAGCAGATCCTATGTTTCCTTTGAAACTTGACATTGTGATCCATGGGTGTTTCAATTGGCCAACTTTCCTTTATCCCCCGTCTCCTCAAGTATATTCCAAGCATACTTTTGTTGTGACTTGTGAGATACAAATCCCATGTCCCAACTATGCAACCCTTATTCCTACTTCAACTTGCCCGTAGACAACCAAGTAGATGCTCATGCCTATGTGGTGCTGATAAAAAAACAGAACTGTGGTTTATTGACTGTTGTAGGAAAGGGTGGACTAGCTTTCACGAGGTGAGGATGGTTCAAGAAAGGGTGGGAAAGGAAGCATATTGATGTCTTAGGAATAATAGTGAAATAAGAATGGTGTGTAATCAAAGAGCCTCACGTTTGCATATATAGAAGCATGGGGATTTAGGAAAGTCACACCTATACCTGTTTTGAAGCCCAAAGTACCCAATAATATACACTTGAAACATTTAACCAATATCTTATTGAAATAGACACTCTTATCTCAATTAAAACTTTAACCTGTTAGTGAGGGTACACCTTTACACTCCATCCTTTTACATTTGTTCTCAACATCCAACAAGCCCCCTCATGTCTGGGCCATGCCCTTTTTTTTAAAAAACTATGTCCAAACATGTGGAAATATTTTTACAACGTGTAGCCCATGGGATAAAAATTTATACTTGCTTGTAGTAATACCGTGAACAGTTTAGAAACCCTGGATGCAGAAACAGTGAAACGAAATTCTAGTTGTGCACATGTGTTTATAAATCATCTTCCTGTAGTAGTCATGTTGTATTTGGAATATTAATTAATGCTAGAAAGTAGAAACAACCGGTTCCATTCAATTATACCAGAACTTTAGAGGACCCAAATTAGCTAGTTTAGGAAGATTTCCCATCTCACTTAATTTTTTGTGGCGTCAACATTATCTAGCTCTGGAGCTAATCATATACTAAAAACTCTTTGGTGATCCTTCATTCTACATCAGGGAATGCCTTCAATGATGATATACTGAAGCATAATCTGCATTGTCAAGCTTTTGGAGCAACCTCTTTCCCAGGCTAGCCATTCTTTTCTTCAAGACTAAAATATATAGTTTTATGCTTTTCCCTTTGATATTTCTCCCAAGTCTCTTCATCTGATTCGTTGATTTTCTGATTATTGCAGGTGATATGTTTAGAGACAAGACAGGAGCATCTCTGGGTACTCTACCGCCCTCTTTAATGCCACCTCCTGAGGGTGGATATCCACCACTTCCATTTCTTGACTGGGGATAGTCACTAGTGTGCTGCAAATTTCGGTGTTTTATGAACTATAATTTCATGGATTGAGTTTTTGAACATGTGGAGCATGTGTAAAATGTGAGTTCAAACCATTCCTTGTTCACATTTAGCAAGATAGGGTAGACTAAGTCTTGGCTTCATCTCTATATATAAATACATGAAATCTTGTATTTAACAAGATAATATTACAGCATCACTATCTTCTCACTTGTTTTCATATATTAGCATCTTGTTTCTCTTCCTGTCAAGTGGTTATTTGCTACCTACCACCAGACCTTTGTTTTAACTTGGAAATGGGTGATTCTTGTGTTCCTTGTTGGAGTCATTTTATTGAATCATTATTGAGACTGCCCCAGTGCATTGCTCCATGGTGTTGATGCTAATATTCTATTACATGATGGATGCTATGGTATTTGCATTCCTACTGCCATCCTTGTGCCACTCATCTCTTTGTTCTTTTGATCGTGATCTCTTTTATAGTTTTATATTGAGTTAATTACCGATTTGGTTCCTCGACTATGAGGATTTCACCAATCTGTCCTCGACTTTTAAATAATTTAGTCTCCGACTATGCCTTTTTTTTTTTTTTTTTTTTTTTTTTTTTTACCGAAAATGGTCCTAACCGTTAGACATCCGTTAAACAATTTTGTGCTAATGACAACATTCTCATTGTTTAAATCTTTTGACATTCTACCAAGGATCTTGTAGTCCAATGGTATGAAGTTGCTCCCTCATATGGGAGATTGTGGGATTGAGCCTTAGTGGAGTTGATATCGACTCTTTGTATTGTGCTTCAATAGGTTGAGAAGGTTGTTGGATTAAGCCTCATTGGAGTTGATATTGACTCTTTATGCTGTACTTCAATAGGTTGAGAAAGTAATTATGAACAAATACTACATTGTAACTAGCGTTAGTAGTAATTAAAAAAAAAAAAAAATTTGACATTCTATATTTTTGAAAACTCCACCTATTCTTTTTAAGGGAAAAAAATTAATTTTACTCTCTAAATTAATCTTTCCTTATACTTATTATTATTATTATTATTTTGGTACAAAAGGAAGGGCGGAGCCCCGGCAAGAAAAGAGCAATTAACAAAAGTCCCCACGAACACAAGGCACTCCTACAACATCTTTATTATTATTGTTTTGTGTGTGTGTGTGTGTGAACCACAACGTGGTCCGGGTCTTTATACCCCGGTTCTCGGGGGATTCACTCCGAGAGGCACAAAGGGAATCGTCACTTGTGGGAATCGAACCCGGCTTATCCCAAAATTCACCCCCACAAAGAGGTAAATTATGCTGTGCATCCGTATGCACCATACATGGTGCATACGGATGCAAAAACGACGTCGTTTTATTAAAAACGCGCGTCTCCCCTTTAAAAAAAAAAATTCAGGTTCGATTCCCAGCAACAACATATGAACTAAAATTTCAGAATTGATGAATTATAATTCCAGAATCTATGAACTAAAATTCCAGAATCTAATTTATGAACTAAAAATTCCAGAATGAATGAACTAAAATTCCAGAATCTATGAACTAAAATTTCAGGATCGATGAACTACAATTCCAGAATCGATGAACTATAATTCCAGAATCAATGAACTAAAATTCCATAATCTATGAACTAAAATTCCAGAATGAATGAACAACATAATGTTGTTGCTGGGAATCGAACCTGAATTTTTTTTTAAAGGGGAGACGCGCGTTTTTAATAAAACGACGTCGTTTTTGCATCCGTATGCACCATGCATGGTGCATATGGATGCACAGCATAACTACTCCTACAAAGAGAGCTTATTTGCCACTTGAACTACCCTGTTGGGTTCCTATAACATCTTTATGGATAAGCAAATTCAGTTCTTTATGAGGACAAGACGGCAATAACACCAAACCAGGTTCCATTCTCTGATTTTTCGCAAGCCAATCGTCAGCCTAGTTCTGCTCCCGCAACACGTGGTGTCGTGGTAGCATCTCACCTCCTAATTCTTATCCACATTGTCATAGAGTTATTAGTAATAAAAAAAAATAAACTTTTGACATTCTATATCTTTGAAAACTCTATCTATTCATTTTTAAGGAACAAAAAAATTAATTTTACTTCTAAATTAATCTTTCCTTTTACTTATTTATTTTTATTATTATTATTTTTTGGTACAAAAGGAAGGGCGGAGCTCTGGGAAGAAAAAAACAATTAGCAAAAGTCCCCACGAACACAAGGCACTCCTACAACATCTTTATAGATAAGAAATTCAGGTCTTTATGAGGACAAGACGGCAATAGCACTAAACCAGGTTCCATTCTCTGATTCTTCGCAAGCCAATTGTCAGTCTAGTTCTGCTCCCGCAACACGTGGTGTCGTGGTAGCATCTCACCTCCAAGTTCTTATCCATATTGTCATAGAGTTAGTAGTAATAAAAATAAAATAAAAAAACTTTTGACATTCTATATCATTGAAAACTCTATCTATTCATTTTTAAGGAAAAAAATTAATTTCTCTCTAAATTAATCTTTCCTTTTACTTATTTTATTATTATTATTATTATTATTATTATTATTATTATTATTATTATTATTATTATTATTATTATTATTGGTACAAAAGGAAGGGCGGAGCCTCGGGAAGAAAAAAACAACTAATAAAAGTCCCCATGAACACAAGGCACTCCTTCAACATCTTTATGGATAAGAAATCCATGTCTTTATGAGGACAAGACGACAATAGCACTAAACTAGGTTCCTTTCTCTGATTCTTCGCAAGCCAATCGTCAGCCTAGTTCTGCTCCCGCAACACATGGTATCGTGGTATCATCTCACCTCCCAGTTCTTATCCACATTGTCATAGAGTTAGTAGTAATAATAATAAAAAACAAAAAAAAAAAAAAAAAAACTTTTGACATTCTATATCTTTGAAAACTTTATCTATTCATTTCTAAAGGAAAAAAATAATTTCTCTCTAAATTAATCTTTCCCTTTACTTATTATTATTATTATTATTATTATTATTATTATTATTATTATTATTATTGGTACAAAAGGAAGGGCAGAGCCCCGAGAAGAAGGCACAACTAACAAAAATTCTCACGAACACAAGGCACTCCTACAACATCTTTATGGATAAGAAATCCCGGTCTTTATGAGGATAAGACGACAATAGCACTAAACCAGGTTCCTTTCTCTGATTCTTCGCAAGCCCATCGTCAGCATAGTTCTGCTCCCGCAACACGTGGTGTCGTGGTAGCATCTCACCTCCCAGTTCTTATCCACATTGTTATAGAGTTAGTAGTAATAAAAATAAAATAAAATAAAAACTTTTGACATTCTATATCTTTGAAAACTCTATCTATTCATTTTTTAAGGAAAAAAAGAAATTTCTTTCTAAATTATTATTATTATTATTATTATTATTATTATTATTATTATTATTATTATTATTTTTGGTACAAAAGGAAGGGCGGAGCCCCGGGAAGAAAAAAACAACTAACAAAAGTCCCCACGAACACAAGGCACTCCTACAACATCTTAATGGATAAGAAATCCAGGTCTTTATGAGGACAAGACGACATGCAATAGCACTAAACCAGGTTCCTTTCTCTGATTCTTCGCAAGCGAATCGTCAGCCTAGTTTTGCTCCCGCAACACGTGGTGTCGTGGTAGCATTTCACCTCTCAGTTCTTATCCACATTATCATAGAGTTAGTAGTAATAAAAATAAAATAAAATAAAAAACTTTTGACATTTTATATCTTTGAAAACTCTATCTATTCATTTTTAAGGAAAAAAAAATCTGTCTAAATTAATCTTTCCTTTTACTTATTTATTTATTTATTTATTTTATTATTATTATTATTATTATTATTATTATTATTATTATTATTATTATTATTATTATTATTATTTGTACAAAAGGAAGGGCGGAGCCTCGGGAAGAAAAAAACAACTAACAGAAGTCCCCACGAACACAAGGCACTCCTACAACATCTTTATGGATACGAAATCCAGGTCTTTATGAGACAAGACGACAATAACACTAAACCAGGTTCCATTCTCTGATTCTTCACAAGCCAATCGTTACTCTAGTTCTGCTCCCGCATCACGTGGTGTCATGACAGCATCTCACCTCCTAGTTCTTATCCACATTGTCATAGAGTTTATAGTAATACAAAAAAAAAAAAAAAAAAAAAAAAAAACTTTTGACATTCTATATCTTTGAAAACTCTATCTATTCATTTTTAAGGAACAAAAAAAATTAATTTTACTCTCTAAATTAATCTTTCCTTTTACTTATTTTTTATTAATATATATATATATATATATATATATATATATATATATATATATATATATATATATATATATATATTGGGTACAAAAGGAATGGCGAAGCCCCGGGAAGAAAAAAACAATTAGCAAAAGTCCCCACGAACACAAGACACTCCTTCAACATCTTTATGGATAAGAAATTTAGGTCTTTATGAGGACAAGATGGGCAATAACACTAAACCAGGTTCCACTCTCTGATTCTTCGCAAGCCAATTGTCAACCTAGTTCTACTCTCGCAACACGTGGTGTCGTGGTAGCATCTCACCTCCTAGTTCTTATCCATATTGTCATAGAGTTAGTAGTAGTAAAAATTAAAAAAAAAAAAAAAAAAAAAAAAAAAAAAAACTTTACATTCTATATCTTTGAAAACTCTATCTATTCATTTTTAAGGGAAAAAAAAAGTTAATTTCTCTCTAAATAAATATTTCCTTTTACTTATTTATTTATTTATTATTATTATTACTATTATTATTATTATTATTATTATTATTATTATTATTATTATTATTATTATTATTATTATTATTATTATTATTATTGGTACAAAAGGAATGGCGGATCTCCGGGAAGAAAAAAACAACTAACAAAAGTCCCCACAAACACAAGGCACTCATACAACATCTTTACGAATAAGAAATCCAGGTCTTTATGAGGACAAGACGACAATAGCACTAAACCAGGTTCCTTTCTCTGATTCTTCGCAAGCTAATCGTCAGCCTAGTTCTGCTCCCGCTACACGTGGTGTCGTGGTAGCTAATAAGCTTAATTTCTAGGCGTTATATAGAGTAATTTTGGTTAGTGATTTGCATTTATAAATTAAGTTTTAGGGTTAATTTTATTATAAATATTATATTTAGTTATATGTTAGTAGTTTAGACTAGTGTAGATGAGT